CTCCTGAAGGATCCACACTGCAGTGACCCCAAGGTATTGCCTGTTAGTGATGAACACAAAACCACCTGGCACCTTCAAACGCTAAGGGGTCTCCGTGCCTCGGGCTAGGCAGCCTTGTACATCCCCAGCACACCCACATCAGCAACAGCACGCCCGGGCGGCCCAGCCCCAGGGCTGCGGGGCGGGCTGGATCATCACACGGTCGTTTCATTCCATGATCGCAGGAAATCGCAATCCAGGCTGCGTGCAGAGGGAAGCGTCCGTATCCGGCAGGAGTGCTAACAGAGCTTCCAGGATGCCAGAAAGGCCCTGCAGGCCCTTCCCTCCAGAGGAATAACAGAGCTTCCAGGATGCCAGAAAGACCCTGCAGGGCCACGTTGCAGGGAGCAGCACGAGGAAGGGATGAGCCAGGCACAGCAAAGGGATAAAGCACAACCAGGGTCCCCCCAGGGAGCTTGACCTGGAGACGGGGCTACAAGGCAGGTCAAGGTCCATGCAGCAGCCAAGGCAGGAGATAAGGACATGTCTAATGCAGCTCCAACAGGAACAGGAGGCCTAGGCCTGAGCTTAAGTGATGTCCTGGGCCAAGGGCAGGGGAGGAGTGTGGGCAAGGGTCCCAGGTAAGGTAAAAAAGCCAAAGACAACCCGTACCACATATCTCAACACTGTCTGCGCTCCTCAATTCTCATGGTAAAGCTGCTTTTTATCACAGACTCTCACATATAAGACACCCTTCAAAATAGCCAGAGAGGCCTAATGCTGCCAGCCTGGTCAGGTGAGGTCAACACTTCCGCTTGCTCACACCAATGAGCCTACACCCCCTTGTCTCCAACTGAGCATGCTGTAGCTTGGCACACCAGTAATGCCCAGTCTCCAAAAACATCCTGACTTTCACAGCTCTATGTCTCACCTGTGTTTGCAGAGCTGGGAGCTGTAAGGCCATGAGTATGGGTCTGCAGGTGCAGGCACTGCTAAGGAGAGCTACACTTCTCAGCTGGCTGGCCCTGAATCTCTCCCTGAGTCTCAGAGCTGGGAAAAAGCCAGTTCATGAGCTGTAGCAGCAGGAGCAAAGCGCTGACCCCACCCCCCCCCAAATTTAAGGTAGCATGACCCCAGAACTGCTCCATCAGGTGCAAGGAAAGCATAACAAGAGACATGAAATAAGCACTTCCCTGGTCACTCCTTCACATCTGTCACTGACACCTGAAAAAGTCAGGCAGCCAACGCAACTAAAAGTGAGGGCCCAGCATTCAGCTGACCGAGCTACCGCCAGCCAGGCAAGCAGAAAGACCTGCCAAGCAAAATGGTCTTGGCAGGGCAGCTTCCACTAATGCTCTTAGCCCGTTGCAAAGTAACACAGCCCACAGTGGAAAGTGCTTAAATTAGGTCAGGCTTCTTCGGCCGTTCGCTCCAAGTGTAAAGCATGTAGGGACAAATCACCAAGGCTGACATTCAGCAGCTTGTGAGGATGGGGTAACCTGTGCCACCCATTCGTGCCCTTAGTCACTGGCATTGCAACACGAAAACGCAATACCTTTGAATTCAGGAGCTCACAACGCTCAAACTAATCTTCTCCGGCACAGCTACGCTTTTTCCCACATGCTGTTGAGAGCTGCAGGATAAAGATACAGCTGAAGTGGTGGAAATACAGGGTTAACGGCCATCTGCATCCTCATGTCTTGCCTAGTCTTCTTACTGAGGAAGACCCGTGCAATTACCCATCCAGGCCTCAAGCCAAGGTAAGAGGGAAACACAGACTAACCCACCAAAAGCCAGATGGAGCACCACTGTCTAGTGCTTGTACAGATAGAGTGGAAAACAGGGAATAAGCATGTAGGAATGGAGTAGTTGGAAAAATGCCACGTGAGGGCACCGGAGCAGCTTGGCAGCAGGATTTCCTCAGTCAGCAGGGCTACTGGCCCAACAACACAGCACGCAGACACCCACAGTCACTGACCTGGGACTGGCAAGAGAAATGGGCCATCTTCCTGCACAGCTCTCCGAGGAAACGGGGCCACGACTGTGGGGAAGCAGGGATTCCTAGCAGATCTGAGCATATCCAGGATAGAGATCCTTGTCGACAAGCAACCAGCTCATGCCTCTGGCAATGTGAGCCTAGATCAGGCAAAGAGTAACAGCATCCCACCTCGAGCTGCTTTCTCCAGCCACTCCTGCAGTTCTCTGCATCCCACCCACCATCCTTTCAAAATGGGACCACCAGACCTGGACACAGGACTCCTGGGCTTGAGGATTGACACAAGGCATGACAGAACAGTGGACTCACCCTGGGTGAGATTTAGACCAAAAGGAATACATTCAGTTCAAAACACAGAAAAGCAAAGGCGTAAGAAACGTACTCGTAGGATCATGCAAAACAAGCAGCAACTCCCTTGTTCACCTTGGGGCCTTCACCCACTCCCCAGACTCCTGCTCTTCACCTGGCACCGTCCCCTATCACCTGAAGATGAAACTTCTTTCAAGAGGATCCTGCTCCTTCCTTCCAGTCTTCCCCCAAGAGTAAAAACCAGAACTACCCTCCTGTGCGCAATTCCAAGCTCCAGTCCCACTTGCCTTCTGTTTAGGGAAGCTTCCTTGTCTCTCCTGTTTGGGTTCCAGGACACCACATCACAATACATTGAAAAGCTATGCGTTTTTTCCCAGCTCTGGAGCTACCTGTTCCCAATTTCCTCTGTGATACAAATTCACCACAGCTCAATAGGAAACACCTCAGCCAGTTCTCAGGTGCAGATCCCCTCTGCCTGCCAACTTAACGGTATTTGCCCAGAGCAGACACCATTCAAAACTCCCCCAGTTAACAGGCAGCCAGAGCACAGTTCAGTCTCCTCCCTCCCAAGACACTCCGCACTGACCCTCTCCAGGCTGTAAACAGAAGCTGCCATGGGCTGGGCACACATGCCGAAGCTGTTCCTCCAGCTGCACAGGCCAGAGCTTAAGTTACAAATGAAGTGAGCCACGCTATTGCTTGGGCTGGAAGGAAAGCCCTGGGGCTTCCAGCTCAGAAAACAAACTAGGGATACAACAGGCAGAGCACAGATGCCATTGGATGCAAGGGTTCCCAAAACAGGTCAGAAGCAGTGCAGGAGAGACTAGACTGCTAATTCTCACACAGCACAGCTACATAAACACATACAGCCTCACAGCAGAACAGCCAGGACATGAAATGATTGGTCCCAGCCTTAGCACAAGCTTTAGTTCATCTTCCCAAACCATCAAGCACTGCATACTGCAGTGTTTGCAGCAGCAGGGTGTCTCTTCAGTGAGAACAGCTAAGGACTTCCACCTCCTACACAAAACCAGAGGCCAGGTTAAGAGACAAGGTGGCACCATTTATCTCCCTATGATCAGGGCCCCACATTCCTTCTCACCCTGTACTAGACTAGGTCATAAGTAAAACCAAACCCTCCCTCCAGGACAGCAGAAGCTCAAAGAAAACCACACATCACAGCAATTATTAATTAAGATTTTATGTTTACAGTAGTCACTTAATAGGGATACAAAGTGTTTTGGTTTTTTTTAAAATCAGACTTATAATGTTGGAGTTACTTTATTGGGAAAGCTGTAGGAAGACCAAAACAGCTGCTCTAAAATGTAATTAGAAAGAAGAAAAAGGTGAGATCATACTGTGCTTTAAAGAAAGAGTTGTAGTTTAACTTGCATAGCACAAGCATACCTAAGTCCTTGAGTTAACAGGCATTGATAAAGCCCACCTCAATCTGTGTTACCAATACGTTTTAGGTTTGAGGTGTTTTTTTGAGCAACAGGTTGCTGGTCTCTGTTGGAACCAAGGCAGGCCTATTGGCACTTACTCCACGTCAGCTCATTTTTGTTTAGCCAAGGAACAACGTACACTTTGAAGTCACAAATCTGGTGCTAAGAAGAGAAAGAAAAAAAAAAGCAGTTATCAGATAAAGAGCATAAACTGGTGCCACTGACCATTGTTCTACACTGTTTTACCACTCCCTGGACAAACACAGAACTTATATATACGCTCTCTAGATCTGCACTCTCCAGACAAGTGTTTTGGAACACCACTCCTGTTGGTACCTGCACGGGATGAATCATTTCTCTCAAACGCTAACAGAGAAGCTGAGCAGTCAGCACTTCAGAAGACCACGTTCTCTCCTCTACCCAGTCAGACATAGGAAAAGCTCCCAGGCACAGGTAAGCACATCTGCACAGCTAGTCCCTATGTGCATGTGCCAAGTCACTGTAGCTGTCAGAATGTTACACACAAGTTTCTGGCTGGGTGCTTAATAGATCACTTGTGCGCAGTTACACTCCTCCCACATGCAGGCAGAAAGGGCACATACACAGAGAAGCTAAGCCTACCACTGTGATTAATATCAAGTAATGAAGTACTACAAAAAAACCTAGATTCAGATGAGATCAAGGCACACCCATTTAGTGCACTCATCTAAAAAGCTAAAGCACTCCTTACAAGAGCATTGCTATCAGACAAAACTTCCATATAACAGTTTGGTGGGCAGAGAGAACAGAGGTAAACGGCCTCTCGTGATCACTGCTCAGCCCAAAGCACTATTCACAGTAATACAAGTCCCCCAGGAAAGCATGTCAAGTCAAGCACGTTTACATCACCATGGGAAAAGAGGAGGAGAGAAGGGTATGGGGACTCAGGATGCTGGACTGAACCAGGGCACCCTTAAGCCTGGCAGTTTCCTCTGTCTATCCTTGTGACCCAGACAATGAGCACTTAAGAGGATTGAGGCACACGCATGCCTCCACACACCATAGCCTCAGATCCCCACTTACAAAATAGGCTAAAAGGCTCTGCCTTCTCTGTCACCATCATCTAGCAAGACAAGTTCTGCAAGGGCAGCATCTTGCTAAGTATAAAGGCATGAGGTCTCTCCTTTTGGCTGGAGCAGAAAGGGGACACTGCCCATACCTCTCTGACCTAGACCAGTCAGAAGGAAGGGGTTGGAAAGCCAGGGGCAGGCACGCTGTGCGCCGGAGCCTACCTCAGCCATCTGCAGCTCAGGATGGAAACCACAGCTCTGGGGATCACTTGGTTGCTTGGTGCAAGTTGTCCGGCCAACTTCAACTTTTATCGTGTAATTGATTCCAGCCACAATCTGCAACAAGACAAGCAGAAGCAGCTTTATTCACAGTATGTACAACAGGGCTCTCTGACAAGGGAAGCAGGCAGTTTTCTAGTTACACAATAGAAAACAGACTCCAAAGTACAGAGGGGATCGTGTGTGGCAGCCTCCACAGAAGAGGCGCTTGGCAGCCTTTCAAAAACGGGAAATAACATCCAAGTAAACAAGCCTCAGAGCATAGCTCCCTCAGTAAACAGACATGCGTTAACCCATCAGCAGAGTAAGGAACCACCTTTCTCAGCAACACACACCACCTAAGGGCATGCAGGCTGACAAGACCCAACCTATAAAAAAAAAAGACTTTTATTCGCTTTCTGTGGAAAACACCCAGCCTGAACAGCTCGGCAAGCTGGAGGCTTGCTCCTCCTGCAGCGAAATCCCACAGGCCGCCCTTCCAGCTGCTCCTCCCGCCGGGTG